AACTTCAATTCTAAGTTGGTTCAACAACTTTAATTACATAATAATTTGAGTTTACTATTATATCATAAACATATAAAAAAATATCATATTGTTAAATTATGTTGTTTTATTTAATTAAAATGTACTTTAAAATTTAAAAATTCATCATATTAAATGTTGATATTTAAATTTAAAAATTGATCATATTAGAATATATAATTATTTTTCAAATTTAGATATCAATATTTTTTTTTTAAACAAATTGTCAAGGGGCGGGCTCAAAACCCACTCATGGGGAAGGGGGAATGCACCTCAAGTTGGTAGGCTGCCAGTTGGCCCGAAGGGTCAGGTGCAAGTTGGCCTGAAGGGTCAGGTGCAAGTTGGCCTGAAGGGTCAGGTGCAAATTTAGATATCAATATTTAATAAGATAGATTTTTGAATTTTGAATTAAAATTTTGATTTCTAAATATAAGTTAGGACTTCAATTTTGTTGAGAATCAAGATTAATATGCTTTAACCTCTATAAAAATTGTTAAAATCTTTAACAATTGACAAATAAATATCTAATATACCTTTTAAAATGTTTCTAAAATCTCAAATAAATAGACTTAAAAAATATTCATTGAGGAAGTTGAAGTCCAATTAAATTAAATTAATATTGTTTCAAATTCTTTTGTGAGCATGATATATATAATTACTTATTAGATTAATCCTTCAAATTCCACTTCAATTACCATACATATTATTCAAGTTGAAAACAATTTATCCAAATATATAATTTGATTTTTACTTTAATTATATAATATATTTAGTGTAGATACATATTATATTATATTTAAAGTGAATTTTGCAAATTGATTCTTATTTTCTACAATATTCTTAGCCTAAGGTTGTAATGATTTCATTTTTTGACCCTCAATGTAGTAATAATTAATATATAAATAATGGTAAACAAATATATTTCTTAGTAATGATTACTAGTATATTAATAATTATAAATAGTTACAAATTGCAACATATAATTAACATGTTTCAATTTGATAATAATTAAATAAACTTGAAAGACTAATTTAAATAATAAAATAAATAGATAGATATAATGATAAATTATGAAAGAATTAATAAGATGGAAGATGAAGTCTCATGAAAAATTGATATAAGGTAAAATATAAGTAAATGAAAAGGCAACAGGAGGATAGAAATTGTGCAAAAAATATTTATATATTCTTATAGATAAAAAAATTTTAAAAAAATTAAAAAAAAATATATTAATATCAACAATCTATTGATTTGACTAAAAAAAATTTAATTTCTTTTAATATTAGCAACAACCTTGTATTAATATGATTTTGTTCATAATAATACAACACGGAAACATCAAATCATTTCAGTACATAGTTACAATTACAAATAATCCAGCACCACAAGCAGGATATTATCATGGCCCAGCTAAAGCGGAAGCAACACATCCAGAAATGGACCGATAACATTACTTGATAGCATACAAAAGCGAAAGCAACTGATCAC